GCGGGTGCTGGGCGGTGTTTCTGCAGAAAGGACCTGAGAGGTGACAGTGGGTGGAGGGACCTTACCCAGCCCGGCCCCAGGGGTGCTGTGAGCTCGGGCCCCTGTCTCCAGGGCTCATTGTTGTCTCTTGGCACAGAGCTCGATGGCGGGATCTTGTGAGATCAGCAACATCTTCTCTAACTACATCAGTGCCATGTACCAGCCAGAGGAGGTGCAGCCAGCCGTGGATATGCTGGGACACCTCGGGGACGATGGCACCCTGGGGCTGAGCCTCCCCACCAGTCAGCCTCCAGCACAGAGCACAGGTAGGACTGGGGCAGCCATGGGGGCTGCGCAGGGCACCCAGCACAGCAGGCAGCAGCAGGACACTGCAGCTGACTTGGAAAAGCATTGCAAGGTGCTTGTCCCACTGGGGCAAGTGAACAACTCCCACTATGCCTCAGTTTCCCCAGGGGTGTGTTGGCTGTAGGAGACCCTGGGCAGCACAAGGTGCAGCTGCTTGGAGCACATGGGGTGCATACGGGAGGATGAGGGAATCATGGCCATTCTCCTCAGCACATGCCAGGGGATGGGGCTGCCAAGGGTCATCAGAAGAGCAGTTTGGAAGTACAGTCCTGGTGATGGGGGTCCCACTTCACCAGTGAGACCGTCATGGGATGGCCCCAGGGAACACACCAGCAGAGCAGGGCAGATCTCAGCACAGACAGGACAAGTGGCACTAAAACCAAGGGCAGGAAGAGTGTCAGGTCATTGCTGTTACCTGGGACAGGAGCAGGGCACAGGGAGATGATGCAGGTCCCACAGCCTTCCAGGCACAGGGTCCTCTGTGCCCCACATGATGGCCATGGAACTGGACCCAGTGCCCAGCTGCAGCTGGCACCAGTGCTGGCATGGCTATCCTGCCCCTCAGCCTTACTCTCTGTCCCTTGCAGACAAGCCGGAGTGGTTCAGTGAGCTCCCATACTTCTGGAGCAAGGTGCAGGTGCTGGAGTGGATCAGCTACCATGTGGAGAAGAACAAGTATGACGCCAGCTCCATCGACTTCTCTTGCTGCAACATGGATGGGCACGCGCTCTGCCACTGCTCCCGGGACCAGATGCGCCTCATCTTTGGGCCCCTGGGGGATGAACTGTATGACCGCCTGCATGAGATCAGTGAGTGTCCCCACGTCCCCTTCATCCCGTCCTGCCAGCTTGAAGCATGAAGCTGCAATGCCCCTGGCAGCCCAGGACCCCCCAAGCACTATGGGGACTGCCTGTGGGAGGTTATGCTGGGGGATGTGGGGGCATGAACCAGAGTCCAGGCAGGGCTGAGCTCAGCTCCCAGTATGGACCATTCCCCTCCATACCAAATAGGCATCGCTAATCCAAGTCCCCCCACCCGTGCAGCCTCTGATGAGCTGAACTGGATCATTGACTTGCTGGAAAAAGAGGACACGACTTCCCAAGAGACCTTCATGGACTCCAGCCACTTGGGTGAGAGATGGGTCCCAGCCAAACCTTTCCCCAGGGTCCATGTGCTGTTGCAGGCAGGCTAACCCCTCCTCTGCTTCTCTGCCCCTTCCAGAGCTGGGAAATCCCTGTGCCAAGGACTCCCTGGAGGATATGAAGCTCACAAACCCTTTCCTATCCACAGACTTCACCTGCTTGCCCGGTGCCATGTCCCCAGGCAGCTCTGATGTCTCAGGTCAGTGTTTTGCCCAGCAAATTTCCCTTCAGTTGCAGTGCTCTGGGAGATCAGGGCGGAACTGCCTCACTCCCAAGGGTAGGTTTGGGTCTTGCACTAGCTGCCTGCTGAGGCCCCTGGGGGGGGAGCCGAGGAAGCATCTCCAGATGCCAGCAGTTGTGATCTGAGCCCTGTCCCTTTGCCCCACAGGGCCTATCATGTCCCACAGCCCCACCTCCCAGGACTCCGGTGGAAGTGACCTTGACCTTGACCCCACAGAAGCAAAGCTCTTCCCTGACAGTGAGTTGTGCCAGATGCTGGGAGAAGAGGGCTTGGTCCAGGGCCTGTCCAGCAGCTGCAAACACATCCTGTCCAGCAGTGATTTAGAGACAACACCTGAACATCCACCCTCACTCTGAGAAGGAGGCAGGGGCTGTTTCTGTGCACCCTGGGTCTATTTCTCCCTATTGAACATGGCAATGGTGGAGGCTCTGGGGCAGAGCTGGGACAGCCAGGACAGCAGGGAGGGCGGCGGGAAGGGACAGGTGGTGGCAGCTGGGTCCAGACTGCAGCCAGGACCTGGGCGCTGAAAGCTGTGTTCAGTGCTGATCCCAGCTGGTGATGACACTGGGAATACTGGGAATGCAAGGAAGCAGCAAGGTTTGGGGAACAAAGAGCATCTGCACAAAGCATGGTGGCATGGATGAGGATGGGACAAGGCTGGTGGGCACAGGGAGACATTGCTCTCCGGGTGATGGTTCCCTCTTCTTAAGACAAGGATGCAGCGCCTGATCTCTGTCTCCACCCCAAACAGCTCTTCCTTGTGCTTCTGCTCCTGAGCAGGACATTTCGGTGCCCAGAGAGGGGGAAGCTGCAACTCTGAAGTGTTGCTAAATCATAATCATGTCAAAACATTTCATCCACAACAAAAGCCTAGTGTGTTCCCTTGTCCTTGTGCACAGGTGACTTTGCAAGAAACAAGAAAGGGGACACCAAACATGGAAAGCGGAAACGGGGCCGACCCCGAAAGCTCAGCAAGGAGAGCAGAGACTGCCTGGAAAGCAGGAAGAGCAAGCACTGTACGTGGAGCCTCCATCCCCAGGGCTGGGACTGCCACCATCAGTGTGGCTCTGTGGGGAGGGTGGGGGACACGTCCACAGGCCATACCCCTTGGCAGGAAGGTTTAGGGAGATCCAAAGTGCAGGGTCCCTCAGGATCTTCCTTCCCTCCTCTTCAATTTGCTCCCCTCTTCCAGCCCCAAGAGGTACCCACCTGTGGGAGTTCATACGGGACATCTTGATCCACCCCGAGCTGAATGAGGGGCTGATGAAGTGGGAGGACCGGCGGGAGGGCGTCTTCAAGTTCCTGCGCTCAGAAGCGGTGGCTCAGCTCTGGGGCCAGAAGAAGAAAAACAGCAGCATGACCTATGAGAAGCTGAGCAGAGCCATGAGGTGAGTGCCGTCCCCTGTCCCTGGGGGGGGACCTGCGTCACAGGGCTGTGTCAGACCCACCAGGGCTCAGCCTTGACCCCCTGCAGCAGTTACCCAGCACATGGGGCTGCCACTAGAGCTGAGATCCAATCTCCATCTCCTCCAGGTATTACTACAAAAGAGAGATCCTGGAGAGAGTCGATGGGCGACGGCTTGTGTACAAGTTTGGGAAGAACTCCAGCGGCTGGAAGGAGGAGGAGGTGCTCAACAGGAACAAGGAGCTGTAGGAGTCATGGACAAGCCGGGGTTTGACAAGCCCCTCGGGGCCCCAGCCCCGGGCTGGGCTCCTCGGCAGGAAACTTTGCCAACAGCTGGAGCTGGGAGCTGCTGCCCTGTGCAATGGGTGAAACTCCCATCTCTGCATGGGCATGCTTGTGTGACTGCTGGCACAGAGGTGTGTAAAGCTCATGTTTTGGCTCCAGTAGATTATTGTAAACTGTTGTGTCCCACTGGGTTAGTACCTCCCACTGGAGTCGCAGCAACTTTGGCTGTGTCAAAGCCTGGACAAACACAAAGGGGAAGAGGAATTGGAGCAGCAGCTGGCATCTCAGCAGGAGCCCAGCAGATCTTGGTTGTCACCCACCACCTGCTGAGCAGAGGGGCAGCACCACCCTCACCTGCCAGCGGACAGACCTTGTCCCATCTGTGGGACCCTCCCTCATCACTGCTGAAGGTGCCCACCAACCTGTTTGCTCGGTGTGGGATGGGTGAGGGCCTCCTGGTGCAGCAGCTTCTCAGTGTGGCACCTGCTGAGGCAAGATGAGAACATTGTGGAGGTTCACGTGACCCTGGAGAGCCACCATGGTGGAGAGGACTCAGGACAGCAGGGCCACTCTGCATTTTTCAGCCCAGCTGCCTGCAAAGAAATGGGCCTTTTCCCCCAGAATAGTTTCTAATTTATGTAATCAAACACACACAAAAAAAAAAAAAAAAAAAAAAAAAAAAGAGAGAGAAAAAGCAAGCACAGAATGAATGTGCAGATATATTTTTTCATGACTAAGATGTTCCTATGTGAGTATGTGCTTCAGGGCACATGTATGTCCTGTGGCAGCTGGTGAAGCTCAGCTGGACTGCAGCGATGTCACGGGGCACAGACAGGCTCTGTGCCTGCCACAGGAGGGGGATGCCAGCCCAGTAGGGCACCCAGCAGGGCCATGTTGCTTCCTCCTTTTCAAATGGGAACATAAGACCAATAAAATGTTGTTTTGTTGGGGTTTTTTTGTACCTCCTTGTTGCTTTGCTTGTTTTTCTTGCAGACATAGCAGGGACCAGACTTGTGTTACCTGGGATATCTCATTGCAGGAACCTCATCTGCCACCATCCCTCCTGTCTGTTTAGTCATCCTGGCACAGGGTCGTAGGCTCTGCCTTAGGGTGACGTGGGCTACTTGGCCCCAGGCAGGTGGGAGTAAGATTTGGAGGCCTTGTACCAAAGCCAGCCATGCAGAGGCATCTTACACCTGCTCCCAAACCTTGGCCCTTCTGAGAACCCTCTAGACATTCAGCCCCAACACCCATCTTTGCAGTGCGGCTTTCTCAGAGCACTGGCTCCAAGTCAGAGTTTTCCAGTTGCAGGCTGCTGGAAAGCAAAGTCCTGGGTGGGCTGGTGGGGAGGGTTTTCAACTCCTTTAACAGTAAAGTCCCCAGCCTGTGGGAGGACCTCCAGCCCCTTTCTGGCCAGTGCTCTCTTCTGAGATGTGAAGGGACACCAAGAAGAAGCCCAGGCACTGCAATCCATGCAAGGCTTGCTCATCTTCCAGTCTGGCTATTTGGGAACCTCTCCTAGAAGCAGTGTGCCTCTTGAGTCCAGCATCTTCAGGACAGGGGACCACTAAAGCCTGGCAGTGCGGACAGCCCAAACACATAATCTGCCCCTTCTTGCTCAATGGCAACACTAACCTTTCCCAGCCAGCCCAGCCATGAGGGGGAAGAAAAGGTGCCTCAGGGGCACTGGTAGCATATCTATGACCCATAGGACATGTTTGTGGGGCAGAAAGAAGGAATTTGTAGGGTTGGAGGCCAAGCAGGCTCCCAGATATGTTTCTACCATGACCTCAGCAAGCAGTAGTCCGTGTATAGCTCCTGGTTCATAAGCACGGGCTGCATTCCATGATGCGTCTTCCCAAATGCTGCTGGGCACGCAGCGGGGCACCAGCCCCCTCTGGTCTGCAGGACTTGCTGAATGTGGGCATGAAGGGAACAGCAGGGCCAGCTCCTGCTCACCCTCGGGGTGAAAGGCCCTGAGACCTTCCTCTGAGCATGGAGTTTGACTGAGGCCAGGCCAAAGCAATGCTACGTCCTTCTAAATGCCTGGAGGGACTGAGGAGGGGAGCAAGCCCTCAGTGGTGGGGGGGAGGCAGTTTTTGGGATGCCTCAAAGCAGCGAGGTGCCTTGCAAAGCCTGAGATGCCTTTTTTGGCAACAGGACCCAGCCACTGGCAGCCCTGACGGATTTTCCTTACTGCCAGAGACTCAGTACAGTAAAAACCAGCCATCCCACACTTGCAGGAGTGTGACCTGATGCAAAAGAGAGAGAATTAAGTCCTTCAAATCAAGGTCTCACATGGACCCCCTGCACTCCTCCCCTGAGCTCTGCTGACTGCAGCAGCTGGAACTGCTCCTGATCTTCCTGGCCTGGGCTCAAGCTTTCTGGGGAAGCCCCAGGCCCTGCCTCACCAGGATGTGGAGAACAAAAGACGGGCCCAGGGCTTGGGGGAACCACAGTCCCCACTGCAAGTCTCCTGTTTCCCTTCCAAACTCCTGGTAGTCATGGTCCTTGGTGCCCTACTTCTCTGCTGGCAGCCCCAAGACTGTGGGCTCAAACACAGCTGATGGATCTCCTGGATATGCTGCAGTGGCATCAAGGACAGGACCCACCTGCTTTGCCAGGGGCAGGAGGTGCCCATGGGCCAGACCAAACATCTTCTGGGTGGGTCCAATTGCTGTTTACACGAGTTGTCTTGTTGGTCCAGCTGGGATGCCTAGTTTCCTGTGGCTATTCCATGCCATGCCCACTTCGCAATTTAGCAAGATACAAGAGGGGGTCTGCATCCATGGAAATCCCAGGGATGACAAAATCACATGGATGATGTCCATCTTTCCGTCCAGGGTGCTGAGCTGAAGTTGTACTGCTCCCACATCCACATGCTGAGATGAGGCCATCAGGGTTGCCCTGTGGTGCAAGAGGAGGTCCCAATCGCTGGGTGTGAACCAGTGGCCAGCCCATGGTCTGGGCCACAGCCAGACCTCCTGTCACGTTCCTTGTGTAACCCTCCCCAGGGAACAGGTTTTCCCAGCTGGCATCTGCTGCCTCCAGCAAGCAGAAGGTGCTCCAGGGTGCTCCCATCTCTGACCTCCAGCTCCACAAGGACCAGGCTTAACTGGGTGACAGCAGGGATAATGCTGAGGTGCTTGAGCTGCCCACACAAGAGGCATGTGTGGGAGGGGGCTTGGATGGGGCTTGGTGGCAATCAGCACGTCTGGGGAGGGGACACGGGCAGCAGGGCCAGCCCAGCCCCAGGCCAGCTCTGGCAGGAGCTGGGTGCTCCAGGCTGCGTCCCTCGAGCCTGGTGCTGGGTGAGGTGTTTATTCTCCATCAATAGATAACCCGGCGGGTTGGCAGGGAGAGGGGAGCCCTTTGTCACGCAGGCTCTGCCCTGCCAAGTGCTCCTTGTTTGCTCAAGCAGTTTCATTTCTTCCCCGCTCCGGTTTGTGTTACTTAACTGGCCTGGGACAATGTTTAACCAGCTGCAGCAGCAGCAGGGAACCTGCCTGCTCACCTCCCATGGGCCCTGTGTCCCCAGGCCCCTGCCCCTGCCACCCCCCTGCCACCACTAGGCTGGGGGTACACCGGCTGGGGGGGTTGGGGCAGAGGGGAGGCTGCAGCCTCAGCTGTGTGGGCACCCCATGCCATGGAAGGAGGAGGACGCAAGAGGAGGAGAAGGCAGGGCTGGGGCACGAGAGCCTACAGAATCCCCTCAAGTGTGCACGGGTCTGTGGAGCCAAGAGCCAGGAAGGTCTGGAGGGGAGCAGGCAAGGCCAGACACACAAACACACACCCAGGGTAACACCCTAGTAACCTCCAAGCCCATACGGAGCCAAGCCAGCAGGGCCTGCCTGCAGACTGCCATGAAAAAGAGATTATTTGGTTTTTTAATCTCCTTGGAGAAGACTGGTGTTGGTGGCTGTGGTAAACCATAGCAGAAAATAGAGAAAAAGAGGATTTATTTTTTTTTCCTCAAAAATTTACACTAGGATCCTCTGGAAGACCTTTCCCACCAAGTGGTCCCAGGATGAACTTGATTTTGGCACACAGTTCCCATGGTAATATCTTGGTCACCCTTCAAATTTGAGCAATAAAGTCAGTGTTGTCTCACCCAAGACCCTCCCAAAAGACACAGGGGCCATTGCTGACCCCTGGTCCCAGTTAGGGAAGAGAAGGGCAGTTTTCACTTGCCAGCTCTTGTCTGGGACACACAGACCCAAAGCAAACTGCTGTGGCCAACGTGTGTCAAATGGGAGCAGATAAATAGGGCGAGGAGAGAGGGTTTGGCTGGGCAAGCAAGAAGGTGTCCGATATCCCACGTCAGACCACGAACTGCCCCGAAGCACAACGGCACAACCGGATTTTCCAGCTGAGCCAGACTGGGGCAATCGTTGGGGCAGAGCAGGGCAGATGGGAATGCAGTGGGGAGGGGGGGCAGGGACCCTCTCCCCAGGACCCCCTGCCTTTTCTTCAAGCTCCCTGCTGTTCCTCCTGACCCTCACCCTTTCCTACCCTCCTGCCTCTGGCTCAGCAGGATGGGGGAGCAGGACTAAGTCCCGCACTTGGAGTGACTGAGGGCACGGGGTCTCAGCTGCCTCCCCACCACCCTGTGCAGGGATATCCCTGCAGCACAGGGGCAGAGATCGGTCCTGCTTCCACAGGGAGGGCAGGAGGACAGAGCCCAGGGCTGGGACCAGGGCAGCACCTGGCCCAAAAGGAAGGCTGGTTCAAAACGTTCAATGTCTTCTTTCCTCAAGGAGAACATTTTTTTAGTAGAGCATTTCTTTGGTGTGTTTCTCCCTGGGATACCTGGTCCAGGCGGGAATCAGACCTTCAGACACTGAGAGGTTTGCAGAAAGAAATGTGTAAATTGTTTGGTCTGGTCCTCTGAAAAATACCCAGGGAAGAAAGGCCTTGGAAGCCTGTGAGAGAAGTTTATTGCAGCTGGACTTCTGCAGCTGTGA